GTTTAAGGTTTCGGGTTTAGGGTTTAAGGCTTGGCGTCTAGGATTTAGGGTTCAGGGTTTAGGGTTTAGGGCTTAGGGTGGGTGTGGGTGGTGGTGTGCGGCCGCGGCATGCAATCAGATCTGATGTTTTTCGTGGACAGAACCCAAAACCGAGCAACTCAAGTACCTGCAAAGGGAGGGTTTTGTCAGGTTTGACGATGGTTTCTGGGATGGCGTGGGGTATTTCTAGGGTTTTGTAGACGAAGAAGGATGCCTTGTTCCTCTTTCTGTAGAGTGAGTTATTGGGTGTTTTAAAGGTCTTGTGGAGATTTTAACAGGGTGTAAGGGTTGAAGAAAGGGGAGTAGTGTGAGGGCGGATAGGGTTTAAGGGCTACATGATCAAGGCTGTGGGTTGAAGGGTTGAAGGGTTTGGGGTTTGGGTGCTCTAGGGTAGGGCTTTGCATTTTGCTTTTCAGGTGGCTGTTCCGGTGTTGTAAACCCTACATCCTAAACCCGAAACCCGAAACCCTAAACCCCAAACCCGAAACCCTAAACCTTAAACCTAAAGCCGAAACCCTAAACCCTAATTCTTAAACCCTAAACACTAAACCCAACCCTAAACCCTCAAACAACCCTGTACTTTGAGGCCCAGGGGCGACTGGAGCTGGTAGGGCTCGCCCTACTGCTGCTCGGCGTCTGCGCACTGGTGCTCGTGAGGGAGCTCCAGGCCTCCGCGGGTTGACGCTTTAGGGTTTAGGGTTTAGGGTTTAGGGTTTAGGGTTTAGGGTTTAGGGTTTAGGGTTTAGGGTTTAGGGTTTAGGTTTAGGGTTTAGGGCTGAACTTGCGTTTCGGATTTCGGGACAAAGAGGGTCGAGTTTACTAGCTTTTAAGAAAGAGCTGGGGAACCAAGTACCGTATCTCGTCTTCCAAAACTCTTGAAGGGGCAAAACCCTCAACCAAAATTCCCTGAATCCGTATTGAAGAACCCATAAGTTGGGTCGGTGAGTGTGGGTGGGTCTAGGCTTTAGGGTCAGGGTTTCGGGTCTAGGGTTCAGAGTTTAGGGTTTAGGGTTTAGGGTTGCAGGTTTAGGGTGGAGGCTTTGGGGTTTTAGGGCCTGAGGTTTTGGGTTTTGGGGGTCGAAAGTTTAGGGTGTAAGGCTTGAGGACTTTGGCGTAGGAGGGAGTTGGTTTAAAGGCTAGGGTACCGAAACCCTAAGCCCTAAACTAGGAGGGTGTGATGATGGGTTAAGGTGTGGAGAGGTGGAGAGGTGGAGGGTGGGGGGGACGGGGGTCGAGGTAGGGGAGTCTCCGGGAAGATAGGATATTTCAAGGCAGGATGGTTCAGGGTGGGAGGGTTTAGGGAGGGCGTTAGCCTTAGGAAGTTGAGATACGGCTGTACCGGATTCTTAGGGCCGCCGAAACATGGGCTTCGGGAATGCTCGAAGACCGGATGTGCGCCCAATAGTCAAGTGCTAACCTTAAGGACATGTATGTCCTACAGGATTGCTGTACGGGATCTTGCATTGGAGATGATGAGTCCTAGTCCGTGAACATACCCTGGCGACTCCTTTGTAGAGGGGGGGGGGGGTGTGGAAGGGGGGGGGGGTGGGGGGGGGTGGGGGGGGGGTGGGGGGGGGGTGGGGGGGGGGTGGGGGGGTGGGGGGGCGGGGGGGGGGGGGGGGTGGGGGGGGGTGGGGGGGTGGGGGGGGGGGGGGGGGATGGGGGGGGTGGGGGGGGTGGGGGGGGGTGGGGGGGGGGTGGGGGGGGGTGGGGGGGGGGCGGTTGCCCACGAGTTTTTGTCCTTAATTTTTTGTGCCTTGCCCACGAATTTCGGTGCCTTGCCGACGAATTTTTGTGCCTTGCCCACGAATTTTGGTGCCTTGCCCACGATTTTTTTGTGTCTTGCCACCAATTTGTGTGCCCGAAAATTCGTGGGCAAAGGCACAAATATTCGTAAACAAGGCACAAAATTCGTGGGCAAGGCACATTTTGGGGTTTTAAGCCTTGCCCAAGGGCCAAAAAATCAGAAACGTGCCTTGCCCACGAATTTTTGTGCCTTATCCACGAATTTTTGTGCCTTGCCCACGATTTTTTGTGCCTTTGCCCACGAAACCCAATTAGGGGTTATATATATATATATATATATATATATATATATATATATATATATATATATATATATATATATATATATACATATATATATATATATGTATATATCGAAAGAGAGGTTTAGGGTTCTAGGACAGTAGCATGGGGTAGCTGATAGGGTTTCCTACGCGGGCCTGTATAGGGAAAATGATCCCTATTAGACCCTGAAAACCTCATCTCCACAACCTCTCAATCTCAATCAAACCTGCGCTGGCGAAACCTAAGCCCTAAACCCTAAACCCTAAACACTAAACCCTAAACCCTAAACCCTAAACCCCCCCCCCCCCCAAACCTCACCAGGCCTTGCTGCCCTTGCCTGTTTCATCTTGGGACACGCTCCTTCCGCAAGGGCATTTTGAGGATTTTCCGGGCTGCTCGGGTTTTGGGGTTTAGGGTTTTGGGGTTAGGTTTTAGGTTTTCGGGTTTAGGGTTTAGGGTTAGGGTATAGGGTTTAGGGTTTAGGGTTTAGGGTTTTGGGTTTTGGGTTTTGGGTTTTGGGTTCAGGGCTTTTCCGGCTACTTCAGTGCAGCTTTTGCGATCGGCGCCTGTCACACCCTAAACCCGAAATTTTGAAGCCCCAAACCCTGCACCCAACATCAGCTTTTTGGCGGGAAGTCGAAGAAGCCACTTACCAAACAGCTCGAAGCTACTGTGCAAAGCCTCAGCCCCAAGCTCCAGACCGGCAATCAGGGTTTAGGGAAACCCCGAAACCCGTAGACTCTGGAAGCCCTGAAACGCCAAACCCGAAGCCCCTAAACTAACACCTCAAAGGCCCAAAAGCGCTCTTCATGGCCTTGGGTGGGACTGTTTGGGGTCCAAGACTTAAGGTCGTTCAGGGTCCAGCGTTAAGGATTTAGGGGTTCTTCTGCTTCGGTGTCCGTCCTCCGACGGTAGCTGAACTGCCCGGATATCCTTGAGCAATTTCGAGTTTGGGCTTGAGAGTTCAGGCCTCGCAGTCATACATCTCAAAAAACTCGCGATCGCCCTGATTATGAACAGAAGGCCTTCCTTGAACAAAGCAAACGGAGCAACGGGCAAGAAAGCTTATGCTTCTTGGACGGGGTTCACGTTCGTGGCATGCAACCCCAAACCCCAAACCCTAACAAAACCCTAAACCCTAAACCCAAACCCTAGACCCTAAACCCTAAACCCTAAACCCTAAACCCTAAACAAACTGTTGCGAATCCCTGGGAGGGCAGACGAGGGCAGCTGGGCGCCGAATCTTCCGACCCTACTCGGGATGTTGAAGTCAGACCAGGGATCTCAGGGTTTCAGCCCAGACCCCCAAACCCCAAACCCCAAGCCCCAAACCCTAAGCCCCAAACCCTAAACCCTAAACCCCAAACTCTAAACCCTAAACCCTAAACCCTGAACCCTTTTAAGGCTTAAAGAGCCTCGGGATCCCTAAGACCACACCCTTCCCTCCCCTCCCTAAACCCTAAACCCTAAACCCTAAACCCTAAACCCTCCCCCCTGGCTGGGGCATGGCACGTCTGCCGATTTGACAGCGGGGACGGCTTTGGCGGCTGCCTGAGAACTGGAGCGCACGCCCAGGGCACAAGCCGTTTAGGGTTTAGGGCTTGGGGTTTGGGGTTTAGGGTTTAGGGTTAGGGGTTTAGGGTTTAGGGTTTAGGGTTTAGGGTTTAGGGTTTAGGGTTTAGGGTTCAGGGGCTAGGGTTTCGGGCTTTAGCAAAGAGCTTGGGGCTTAGGGTTTTACAAACCTGGAGCCCGAAGCTCTTGGGGTTTGCGGTCTAGGGTTCAAGGTTTAGGGCCGAATGGACCCGGGTGTCCCAGAACCCAAACTCTCCTAAACCCTTGAAAATCCTACTGCAACCGGGTTGCAGCTCATTTGTTGTGAACGATCGTGAGAGGTGCTTGCCTGGTCGCAGCAGACATTTGGAGCCCAACTAAGTGGGTCAAGGGTTAGTTTAGGGTTCAAAAGGCAAGGCACGCCCACAATGTCTCCTGTTTAGGGTTTAGGGGCAAAGCACCCTTTATGGGGTACCCTAGGTCTAAACCAGGTTTAAGCCCTATAAACACCACATACACCCCCTGTAAAAATCGTAACCCCGTAACCAGGGGCTCGAGGGCTAAACCCTAAAACCCCTAAACCTAAACCGTAAACCCGAAACCCGATACCCTAAACCCTAAACTCGAGGGCTTTATTGAGCGCGTCTAGTGCCCATTCTTTCGGGACTCCTACAATAAGGAGTCTTGATTTTCGAGGTATACCGGGAGCCCTGACTGAGCCCGAATTTGGGAAATGGGCACATGACTCAGCAACTAGAAGCCCATCAATCCTTGAACTGCAGCCAGGGCTTCGGGTTTCAATGGGTTCGGGGGCCTGGGACCCTAATCCCTAAACCCTAAACCCTAAACCCTAAACCCTAAACCCTAAACCCTAAACCCTAAACCCTAAACCCTAAACCCTAAACTCTGGGGTTGAGAGCTTAGTGCGCCAGATGCTGCCCCGGCGGCCCGGCGACCGCGGTGCCATTACCTCAGAACGAGAAGCAAAGGACACATGCATTGTGACACATTACGACAGCAGTACCAGAAGGCATTCCCGTGCAGAGATGGCGTCTCACGCTAGTTGAAACTAGACCGTACCTCTCTTCGTAGGAGTACGAAGGGATGAAAACGCATCACACCGGAACTGATACTTTGCGCCACAGGAAACCGACTGCCTCGTACCTTTCACGGCGAAATCCTTGAAGCCGTAAAGCTTGCAAACAGGAAAACCAAGCAACACTTCATCGGCAGCAGCACACAAACCCTCCATGGCAAAGGGACAGCACAACTTGAGCCCAAACCAGCAGGCACCAAAACGAAGCTCGCAAGCGGAGGTTTAGGAAGGCTTATGCACCGGATCAAGCTGAGCACATGGTCACTGGTGACTTTCTGAAGCTCGCGTGCCGAGAGTGATTCGCCTTGTTCGAGATGATCTCGGTGGCACTTATCATCAGATGCCAGAAAACATCGGGCGTCTCTCCCAGCTCTCTCTGGTTATGCCTGAGGTAGACATGTCCAGACAGGTGTGCGATGTTTCGGTAGTAGGCGCTTCTTTCGTGCTCCTGGTCCATAATCTCAACGACGACGCTGCCAGGATACATCCAAATCGAATGCATCATGCCGGCTCCGTGCATTCCGACCAGGATGTCGCAGTCGCTCACCATCTTGGCTTGCTGTTGGATGGGCACCGAGGCATTGAAACCCAAGGAGCGGAAGACCAAGGTTTGGCCATCCAGCATCATTCCCTCGGCGGCCTCCTTCAGTGCGCGGAAGCTCTTGTCACTCAGCTGCCGGGTCGATTTTCCAGGCCTGCCCACATAGCCTCAGTTTGCCAGTTCAGAAGCAAAAAAACCATCCAATTTCAGTTTGATGATAGCTAGAAGTCCTTGGATCCCTTCAACCCCACAAACTTAAAAATGTGCAAGAGCATGTATTAAGTAGCAGACTCTACTGCCTCCGAAATTCATCTCCGGGTCGAGGCCGACACCAGCATAGAGTGCCTAAGTTCACCAGCACACCCCCCCTTCTAAACGAGGGTAACCTTTCTCAGACTGTTTTCACATCTTGAAAGGGAACTGTCCGCAAGAACATACATAGAGGAACATGAAGGCGTCTGAATCATGTGTGGTGTGAGATTGTTCCATGTTCCACGATGAGCCTATGCAGTGGAGGCAGTACTATAACTGCAGAACGTGCACCGAAACACTAGTCCAGTTAGATTCAGCCCCGATATATCCCCCCCCCAATGAACCCTCATAACCCTTTCTACTATGTTAGCCGAGCTCTCCAAACAGCAACAGATCACACCCGAAGCATGCCATGAGGACTACAAAATCCCGACCACTGTCACATGCGAACGGACATGACTTGCTTGGCAAAACACGGGTCGCAACTGATCAGTTGCCTTTGTTTTAAGGAGTTACCGAGCTCTGCGACCACACATCACTCACCGAGCCACCAGAGGTTCGCTATGTTTAGGAAAATGAGTGTCGCAACTCATTGTTTTCAAGATGTGATTTTACATCATCCACGACGGACAGGCATGCTGTGCAGTGCATTTGAATTTCATCTGTTCGCAAACACCAGTTTGGAGGCTCCCAAATCTCAGGAGCCTGCGGGAAGCAGTTAGTGCACTAACCAGTCGCAGGCCCCAGAGCTCCAGGAGCCTTGCATGTGTTCTCGGAATCAGTTTGGGGGCCGCAAATACAGGAGACCACCAAGAGACCACTAGGACACCACCCAGACAACACCAGGACATCATCACAAGACAACCCCGCGACCCACGAGCACTGCCCCCAGGACGACCACGACGAAGAGGACGACAACGACCAGGAGACCACCAGGAGGCCACCAGGAGGCCGCCAAGAGGCCACCACGACACCAGGAGACCAGCGGAGACCCCCAAGTACTGGCGCCTTGAAGACTACGGACTATGCCCCGGAATGCTTTCCCGCGAATGTTGGCGAGATTGCTGAGCATTCCGGAGCATGGCGGCAATTCTGCTCCCCAAATACTGGCGGATCCAAGACCAGTTGCAGGACGCACATAGCCAGCCCGAATCTTTGTTTTGCGAGAGCAAACGCCCAAAGCGAGAAGGATGCAACACACCACTGTCGGAGTCAAGAATAGGAGGCGAGGGGCGAGATTTGCAGGCTTCACAACTTCACAACTTCACAATCAACGCAAGAACCAAGAGTGTTACCACACTGTTTGGGGAGAATCGATTCCTGGGGCCCTTAAGAGATAATACTAATAATGATAATAATAGAGATAATACTAATAATGACAATAAGAAAAGAAGAAGAAGAAAAATAATAGGAATAGTATTGTTAAAAGAGGGCTTGGGGTAATTGTGAGCCTGGGAGCTGACTGGAATGACCGCCAGAGGTTGGATGCATGCGCACACTTCATCGGTAGATCCCATGCCAAGTCCCACAGGAAACCGTTCGACGGAGCAAGGATGCGATGCCTAGGCTCTCCAACGGTTTAGGGTTTAGGGTTTAGGGTTTAGGGTTTAGGGTTTAGGGTTCAGGGTTTAGGGTTTAGGGTTTAGGGTTTAGGGTTTAGGGTTTAGGGTTCAGGGTTTAGGGTTTAGGGTTTAGGGTTTAGGGTTTGTCACAGGGTTGTAATTTGGCGCAAAATCAAGGCAAAGGGATACTGCGCGGAGACCGGCAAAAGGGATACTACTCCGAGACATAGGTGCTCGTAGCCACAGTCCTTTGGAGCGATCGGGCCCAGCAGCTGCCAAGGAAAAGGGCCAGGGTCAGTCTCCACCGTGATGTTTTTCAGGTGCGGCACGCGGTACGAAATACTGACCTCCCCTGGGAGCTTCTCCTTCAGCTGCAGAACTCTGGGTACCACCCAGGCCTCAAACACCACAGCCATGCGATGCCACAAGTTCGGGCTAAAGCGATCTGGGCTCTGCACCACCACGACCTCGGTAGAGAGAAGGGTTGCGAGTGCAGAGTTTAGGGCTTGCTTTACGGAAATCATCACAATCTGGGCCCTTGTAACAGTAAACAAATTGCACAGGTTACCATGCACCATCTCTAACTCCAACTGAGCTCTATGACTCTAAACCCTAACAGGAACCTCCCAGGGCTACCCAGCCACTGCAGAGTTTGGCGCAAAGCTTCCGTGGCTGCAAAGGACCCCAAGAGACGACTCTGCGGTGACCGTGCCTCCCGCCGCAGGGGCTCCCGATCGCTGAATGCTCCACTTCACTCGCCCTGTCTTGGAGCTCTTCTCGTGCCAAAACCTCGCAACACCAGACCAAGTCCAGTGCTCATCGCCTGAATTCCCCAGTGCCCCCTTAACAATGTAGTATACCCTTTTCCGCCTGTTCAGTCTTGAAAGAAAGGCGAGCCCAGAAAGAGTGCTAGCGAGAAACCTGGAAGACCCTGTAGACTTCAACAGAAGCCCTATAACAAAGTGTCCTTAATGGTTGGAATAAGGTTTGGGGCCCATGATAGTATAATCACAAGAAGGAACCCTAGGGTTTAACATTGGTAATCACTTGAGCTTCTACATTAGACGCCCTTGCCAGAGCCCTTCAACCGGCGACGAGGTCGCATAAAGCTCTCTCATTTCCATTCTTAGCCATTCTTACACCCTAAACCCTAAACCCTAAACGCTAAGCCCTAAACCCATTATTTCATGACATGCTTCACCCCCCCTGCCCCCCTCCTCAGCAAGCTCTGAAGCTTGCTTAGGGGGGGGGGGGGGAGGGGGAGCCTAGGTATGTTTTCCCGGCTTCCTCAGGTTTCTCTTTCTGGAACGTTGGGGTTTAGGGTTTAGGGTTTAAGGTTGGGGTTGTGGCAGGGAGTGAACCTTAGTGAGCAAGCCCTTAGTGGGTTCGCAAGTGGCTAGTGCGAGGATTTCATGGGTAAGTGCTTGGCCAGCGCTTGCGAAGCTCGGATTCTTGCTGAGAGGGGGGGGGGTAAGCATTCCATGATATGATTACTACTAGTACTATACTATACTATTGCCTGCTATGATCATTACTACTGCTATTACCACTATTACTGTAATTCATTTCTCTATATTCTTACTGCTATTCTCATTATTTCTGTTACTACTAGTAATTACTACTAGTATTACAAGAATTACTATATTATTATTACTACTAGTGTTACAAGAGTTACGAGCATTGTGGCGACAAGGTCGCATAAGGAAGACGCATCATCCTGCAGGGCCGCCAGGGAGGCCCTTGGGATGCTCAGCTTCGTGGGCCAGACCTGCTGTAGGATGGTTTGGGGTTTAGGGTTTGGGGTTTAGGGTTTAGGGTTTAGGGTTTAGGGTTTAGGGTTTAGGGTTTAGGGTTTAGGGTTTAGGGTCTAGGGTCTAGGGTTTAGGGGTTTAGGGTTCAGGGGTTAAGGTTTAGGGTTTAAGGTTTAGGGTTTAGAGTTTAGCTAGACCTGATTTAGGAGGGTTTACTGGGTTCTTGTTAAGGGGTTCAACTCAAGCTACCCTAGTAAAGATCTATAGAAGATATGAATGTTTCCTTATTATGGTAACTTAAACTAGATCCCATAACAAGAACCCAGTTTCAGGGTCTAGGGGTCAGGCAGAAGCAGGGCTCAGGGTGAGGGATCCCATATTTAGGGTTGGCCTACAGGGCTTGGGCTCAGGATCCCATTTTAGGGTTCAGGGTCACAGGGTTTAGGATCCCGTGTTAAGTGTTCCTCCCACATTTTGGGTTTAGGGTATATGAGAGTCAGGGTTGAGGGTTGAGGATCCCATATCTGGGAATTTGAGGTATAGAGAATTGAGAGTGTAGGGTGAGGTATCCTGTAGTCAGGGTTCAGTGTTCATGAGGTTTGGGAACTCCCATCTACATACTTTGGGATAACAACGACATAAGTGTTTTTCTATACTTACCGATGTTTATCAAGCACTTATTAGAAAACAAACGATCAATAGGGTTGAAGGCTTTTTTAGGATTCCAAGGCGAGACCTCCAGCTTGCACAAGGTCGCCGAAGGGAGCACAGCCGTCGCGAGCAGGGCCAGCAGACCGCAAGCCAAGTAAGCGATGGAACGAAGGCTGATCTCCATCGAAGCTAGTCAGGGCCCAAAGGGTTTAGGGTTTAGGGTTTAGGGTTTGGGGTTTAGGGTTTAGGGTTTAGGGCAAAGGCTTCCTGATTTAAGGTCTGAATAGGTTTTTGGGGTAAGTCGGATCCTTCATCTCAGGGGCCGAGTGGTTTGTTCCGAGTTTTTTCGTTTGTCCTCAGATGGGGGGTATAGGGTTTGGGGCTTCACGGTTGCTGTATCGCTTCGGGGCTTCATGAGGGCTTTCTATGAAGGCTTTATGAAGATCTTGTGAACATTTCGCTGGATGCTCCTTGGTTGTGAAACAGACAGATGAAGTGACAGTAAGCGCCTTGCTATTAAAGGTTTCTCATAACAGAGGCTTCATAGGGGTTTGTCAGGTTTTCGTACGGCTTTCATAGCGGAAGACCTTCAGGACCTTAATCCAGTGCAGTTGCGATCGTACGATCATGGATAGAAGGCCGCATGAGGTGCTCGTGATGAGCGTGTCACCGTTTACGGTTCAAGGTTAGCCCTAAACCCTGAACTCTAAACCCGAATCTGCAACCCTAGACCCAAACTCGAATCTGAAACCCCCAACTCGAAACACAACGGTTCTGGCAGCAGGCGAAGGACTACGAATGCTCTTGGAATTGGAAGGGTTTAAAGGTTTTGGGTTTTAGGATTTAGGACTAGGTCCGACAAGCGTAGCACACTGCTTCCGGACTCCATACCCTGTCCTTAAGACGCCGCTGCCTTCTTACACCTGCCTGCCGTTTGATGGCTTAAGAAGTTACGGATGCTTCGGGCCTAGTTAACATAAAGTGCTGGGGGTCGTTATTGAACATTATTGATAGAGATTATTGCCAACTATTCCGGCAATAGAAGGGTTCGCTGACTCTAGGGTTGTATGGAGGATCGGAAACTCTGCCTGGTGCCTGCTATGGTTGAGGGTTTGGGGTGCTGAGCTTAGGATTAGGGGCTTAGAGGGTTGAGCTTCTACGTTTCTGTGGGGTTTCATGACTTTCACAAAGCCAGCAGCAAAGGAAGCACCGGAGACCGGACGGTGAAACGCATATGGACGTGTCCTTAGAAACACTCTTGCCACAAAGCTTTGAAAAATCGGGAGAATGCAACTATGCTGCAAGAAAAATTCTGGGCATCCGTCAGACTACGGGCCATAGGCCAACCGGCCACGTCCCTCTGTGGCGCAACAACCCCCGCTAGGGCCCGCAAAATGCCTTTTTCAACAGACTACCAAGTTTGGGCCTGGCAAAAGCGGCGACGGATCTGTATATACTATATTGCAGTACAATACAAACTGCAATTTATAAAACAGGGCGTGGTCAAATTTCGATGTCTAGACGCCAAAGAGCTGTGTTGCACAGATTTGCCCGTGTCAGTGCTGACACAGTTCTACCTGCAGGAAGACTGCAGAACATCCTAACAGATAGGAGATCTGGCAGCGGAAGGCACGACAGAAGCTCTCCTTTGAAGTCCGCACAATCTGGAGTATACGGCCCCAAACCCTGAACTCTACATCCTAAACTGCAGCTGGCCTTGGAGTTGTCCTCGAAACACCTTGGAGCCAACCGTGCCGGCTGCGAAGATCCTTTCCTGCTCAGACATCGACCCAGGCTTCACCAAGCCGCATCCGAGCAAGT